GCCCTCTTTTCAGCCTCCAGCTTTACAATGAGTTTTGATTGTTTCTCATTTTGCACACAGACTTCACCACTTCTGATACACAATTTCTTGTAGGTATCAGCCAGTTCTTCAAATGTCACTTCTTCATCACTGGTGTCACTTTCAGAAGTACAAACACTAGTTAGGGCAGTAACTAGTTTGGCAGATTCTTATTCAGAATTGCTTTCTGAATCATAGTCAGACCAAGTAACAGTCATTCCTTTCTTTTGCTTCTTAAGAAAGGTAGGACATTCAGCTCGAATATGTCCATATCCTTCACATCCATGGCATTGAATACCTCTGCCTTGGTTTCCCTTATCTTCTGACCTTGGTCTTCTGCTGGAACTGTCAATGTCAGAGGGAATGTTATGAACATTAGACCTTGACTTTGGGTCCATTCTTTTGATGAGCCTGTTGAACTGTCTTCCAAGCATGGTAATGGCTTCTGATATGTTTTCTTCTTCATCCTCCTTGTATTCAACATCAGTGTTGGATACAAGTGCTATGCTTTTGTTCTTCTTGTCACCATTATCAGTGATCCCCATCTCAAAAGTCTGAAGAGACCCAATAAGTTCATCCACTTTTAACTTGCTAATGTCCTGGGCTTCCTCTATGGCAGTTACCTTCATTGCAAATCTTTAAGGCAAGGATCTGAGAATCTTCCTCACCAGTTTTTCTTCTGACATTTTTTCTCCCAGTGCTCCTGAGGTGTTGGCAATCTCCAAGATGTTCATGTGAAACTCATGAATGGTTTCATCTTCCATCATTTTTAGATTCTCAAACTTAGTGGTCAACATCTGAAGCCTTGACATTTTTACTTTGGAAGTGCCCTCATGAGTAGTTTTGAGAGTGTCCCAAACTTCCTTGGCCAGTTCATATTGATGTACTAGTCTGAAGATGTTTCTATCAATTCCATTGAACAAGGCATTTAAAGCTTTTGAATTTCCCAGAGCTAACTCATCTTCTTCTTTACTCCAATCTTCCTCAGGCTTCAGACTGATTGTCCTATCTCTTTCAGTTATGGTGGGATGAATCCATCCTTTGTCAGCAGCTCTCCAAGCCTTTTTGTCCAGAGATTTTAGGAAGGCAATCATACGAGGTTTCCAGTAGTCATAATTGGTTCCATCCAAAATGGGTGGTCTATTTCCAAAAACTCCTTCTTTGTCCATAGTGCCAGAAAGTGATATCCCTAGGTCTCACCCAGTAATACAAGCAGGGTGCCTGCTCTGATGCCAATTGAAAATTCTGGCTGCAGATACTCAATGTCACGTCCAATGTTATGACACCGTATCTGACTTACTATATGACAGTAAATACAAAAGCAGTAAAGAACACAGTCAATTGTTTACCCAGTTCAGTGTGCAACAACACCTACTCTGGGGGCTACCAAGCCAGGGAGAGAATCCACTATAAGAGATGTTAATTCAGGAATAAACCAACCAGTTTATCTCCTTCACTTAAGACCTACCCAATGCAATTCTAATCTAAGTACAACTTAAACCGGAGTTCCTACTCACTCCCCCTCAATCACAGCAGTGATACATAAACCAATTTGACTTAAGAATTGATGAAGACACTCTTCAACAAAAAACACACACTTGATTAAACTTCACAGCTTTTTAATCAAGCAACACAATCACTCGTGCTTCACAGCTTTGAGTGATGTACACAACTAACTTGACTCTGCTTCACAGCTTTAGTCAAGGGGCATTCAAACACTCTTGCTTCAAAGCTTTGAGTGCTACACAACCCTTACAATCGAAACCTATTCCAAGGCACTTATCACAATGATAATTGCTTGGAGTACAATAAACAAATCTATACAGATTACAAAATTGATCTTCTAATCAATCAACAGGGATCTCTTGAAAAACAACAGCTCTGTTGAATATATAGCAGCTGCAACTTCAGTTAGGGTTTCCAAGAACCTAGGGTTGATTCCGTTTGACCTAAAGACCAGGTCACAGTTCTTTATTGATCAGGATAGGATTGAGCTATGTTACTCCTCAGAAAACGCAGGATTCTGTTTAGAAAGGACTGAGTTATTTCCTGAAAAAACTCAGACTTATCCAATCCTGCAATCCTGTTAGTTCAGAACAGGATGTCATAACATCTGTTATGACATCTGAGAAAACCTGTCTACTGATTTAGCAAAATGTGATCATTTTGCAAACATGCTCAGATACACACTTATAAACATCAGTATTTGAATTACAATATTTTTCTGCACATGTACCTAATGAGTTAGTACAACCTGATCTAGAATGTTATGACATCAGTCATGACATTCACACATACACTTGGGATTTACCAAAAATGCAAGCCAATACCTAAACACCTACAATAACCCACTTCCTTCTTGACTTATAACAGAAGAGTTTTCTTTTGCACCAATCACTTAAAAAAAAACATAGCTTGTGAGGATGGTGAGGATGTAAGATCTTTAAATACAAGGAAAGTTATTTAGATTGTAATAAAATCGTGCTTGTAACACCACTTCCAATTAATGGGGGCTTTTATGGAGGAAGATAACCCTTAGTAACAGTGAACCGTTCACCATAGAAGAGATACACATTATTCTTCAGCTTTCTCTTTTTCCAAGCTTAGACTCCTTGAAAAATGTTACAACATTTGAAATGATATTTACCATGCCATTGAAAATGATTCTTTTGAGATTGCACACTCCATTAGGTAAAAGAATATAGTTGACATACCGTTCAAACAGTTACACCAATAATTCTTCAATAGTGTTATTCCAGAATTATCCCTCATATTCTCAATGAAACTTGCACCTCAAGTTATGATAAAAAAACTAACAGATCTTCTAACCATACCAAGTAGGAATGCCAATATAAAATTGTAGCGAGATTAATGACACAAAGATGACATAACCAATGACTTTGTTCTGCAAGCATAATAAAATCTTTGTACCTTGATTGTAGTAGCATGTCACACTACAATGTCATGACGTCCAATTTGACATTACACTATTTTAGAAATCAACCCAATTGAAAATACATCTTCTTTCAGCAAATTACCTAATTTTCAAGATATACCAGGATTCAATTAATTCTAATCCAAATGATCAGAATATCCTCCAGTAATACAATCTTCTTCATACTTGGCAAAAAGCTTTTTACCCCAAGACTCTCAATCATTCAATATTCTATCTCTGAAATATCTGATGATCACAGACTAAAACAACCTCTAAATAATAAACTCCCTCTTAAATTGATTTCTTGAGAGCTTCCTCATTCAGTGTCTCATAGCTCTTTAGAATATTTCAAATAATGGAGTAATAAACTGCTAAGATGATGTTCTAACATCTGGTTGAACATCAATATCTTTCTCAATGAACACATCACTGATCTTGATCCTGAAGTTACTAATCACTATAAGAACTTCTTTTAATAAAATAGCTCAGAAACATACCTTGTTCTCATAAAAGGAGTAGATAAGGCCTTTGAAGACTTCACACATAATATATTCACTTTGATAAAAGAAAATCATATACACCTTTCTATCCACCAAGACCTTCACTTTGCATTGAACCACTCAGATCCATAAAATAGCTTCTTGAGCTTTTGCAATTGATTGATCTTGACTTCTTCTTCCTTTGAACACCAAGTAAGAGAATAAACAGTTGAATACTTGTGAATTTCACAAATAACAATAGTTCATCAGTCCTCAGATGGGCCACAAATATCTTATAAGAGACACAAATTCTTCCTCGATGACACAACTGAATCAATTGTTAAGTAAAATCAATTACCAAAAACTTAAAGAATCCATCCTGAATTCTTTAGTTATCCAATATCCTTAAAAATTCTCTTTTAGTATCATCCACAAAGTAACACTGACTAGAATGAGACTTAAACAAACTACCATAAACACTTTTATATATGTTAAATGTCTGAAACCGTTAGTGTAAAAAAACTCCAATCACAAACCTAATTATCCAAAAAGGAATGAACTAGAGTATGAGGAAGCTCATACAACTTAGTCTCTTTGATAACTGTGAAATCTAAGCCTTAATAGAACACAGTAATGACGAAAAATAACCCTAATCGACATAAATTCTCTTTCTAAATCTATCTCTATTTTCAAGACCCACTAACTTAACTAACTCAATCTAATCGTTTTTAACCGAAGAATACCTTAACTATTTGGTCATTCTAAGAATCTTAAATGTTACTCTTTCCTCAAAAGCATCAAAAAAATTCTATTAAAGATGGAACCAGAGTCATAAAAATAAAAGATAGCTGAAAAGATAAGAATCGACTAGATGAAATTTTTTATACATAATAGTGAAATGAAAATCATTGTAGAGAAACGAATTCTATACATATGAAAAGAAATCCAACAAATAAACGTACAGTTTAGATACACTTGAGTCATAGTTATAATTCTCAATTCATTTATTTAGATATTCTAATTTATATTTATTATTATATTTATTATTGAAAAACTTATTTCAAATGTTCCGCCGTAATTTTTATCATCATAAATATTTTATGAAGTTGAAATTTAATATAAAAAAAGATAAAATTAAATTTCTTTATGATTTTGAGAGGTGAAAGTATAAATATTGAGGTATAAGATAAAAAAATTTGTTTATTGTCGACAATAAGCTTGGACCAACTCCGAAGTAGCATTCATTTTTCTTTTTGGAAAAAGGACACGTCGATTACCCCCGGCGAAGAAGAAAATGCAACAAATACAGACACAAACTCCAATCTCACTGGATTTGAATTGATTGCCTCTTCGACCTCTTCCAGAGCCACTACCACCCTAACACCGACTATTCAATAACCAAATCATCATTATCACACTAATTAATTATATTATTGTAATCAACTCTTAATTATCTATAAACTCATCCATCAATGCCTTCTTCAGGTTCGTTCACCATCATCTGAAGTATTTGATTGTTGTGTCATTTTCCGTAACCGTTTTCTGTTGCAACAGTTCACAGATTAACAATGGCAGCTATCGCTAACTCCTTATCACTTAAACACACTCTCGCAACTCGCTTTCCACTAACAACAACGCGAACGCGTCTTTCTTCCACTTCCAGAACCTTCCATAGATGCTACGCTTCTTACGCAAACGAAAATCGCGAGTAACACTTCATCTCTTTCACCTTTTATTAATCGATTATTTATTATTGATTATTGATTATTGATTATTCGCAGGTATGTGATTGTTGGCGGTGGAAACGCGGCCGGATACGCCGCTCGTACTTTCGTCGAGCACGGTGTCGCCGATGGCCGTCTTTGTATCGTCACTAAAGAGGTTATAATTATTATTTTTCTTCAGCAAGAACATGAATCTTGATCAAATTTTAGTGTATTTATTTATTTGTGATTATGATTTTTTTTCTACTGAATTTGTGAAAATAGGCGGTTGCGCCTTACGAGCGTCCTGCTTTGACGAAAGCTTACTTGTTTCCTCCGGATAAGAATCCGGCGCGGCTTCCGGTGAGAATGTTATCATGAATTGGTTATTAATAACTCAAATAGTAACTGTTTTGTGATTAATTGTGTTCATATTCTTTGTTATTTAGGGGTTTCATACTTGTGTTGGATCTGGTGGAGAAAGGCAAACTCCAGAGTGGTATAAAGAGAAAGGGATAGAGGTACTTTATTTTATGCTGTTGGAGATTAGAATCGTTTTTAGGTAGTCTGAGATTAACTTATTTGAATTTATCTATTGGCGTAAAAATTTGCGGACGATTTAAGAGGGCTTATGAAAACTTTTGATGACATATGTACTTCAACTATTTTCAGCTTATTTTCACAAGTTCTCCCTACTGAAAATAGCTTATAAGTTATATGAAAACAATTCGACTTATTTTATCTTTTGGTATAGAAATAGCTTATATGTAACACTTCTATACTGTATGGTTATGTTAGAAACGCTTAATTTAGATGTTTCTTGAAACAAGGCCTCAGTTACATATTTCCTAATTCACACACAAAAAGAGATTAGAAAACGGATAGTTGAGTGGTTTTGTCTTCTTATAGAGTGCTCTTGCTGTGTTAAGTGAGTGTGATACAATGTACATCGGATTGTTTGAAATGGAATGGTGAAACTGAACTCATATTCTTAATCTTAGCTATTATGAAATGGAGATATTCTATCCTAGGAGAGTCTTAGTTTAGTGTAACTGAGTAAGGCAGGAAACAGTTCTCATCCATTGAAGTTAATGAAATGCTTGAAATGCTCAATTCCACGCTGTTGGTTTTGCTTTGCAGACGTTGTATGAAGATCCGGTAGAAAACATTGATATTGAAAAGCAAACTTTGACAACGAGTTCTGGGAAGCTTCTGAAGTATGGATCACTTATTATTGCTACAGGATGTACATCCTCAAGGTATGTGTGTTTACCTCTGTTCATCTTCTGTTGTTTCCATAAAAATTGGCGTTGGAAATCCAATTCATCTGCTATCTTGTTAATAGGTTTCCTGAGAAAATTGGGGGAAACCTTGACGGTGTCCACTATATTCGGGATATTGCAGATGCTGATGCCCTGGTTTCATCATTGGTAATCTTACACCCTTCTAACATGACATATTGTTCCAATGATTTTTTTGATATTTTAGTTTAAAATGGGAAACATTTTGCAGTCCTTACAATCATTTGATATACGACCATTCAAATTATTCTCTATTATTAAGTATTTAATATTTTCAATGCTTTCCATCTGGATATGTTGTTATGACACGATCATGCTCTGACATCCTTTCATGTAAATTGCAAAAACAAATTCTGGATATTTCCCGTTAAAGCTACTTCCAAGATCAGATTGCTGTATTTTTGTACTGTAAAAAATTAATTTGGACAAAGTTTGTTCTTCATTATGATTTTTTCTTCTTCTGTTTTTAATTTCCAGGAAAAAGCAAAAAAGGTTGTAGTAGTTGGAGGTGGTTATATAGGAATGGAGATTGCTGCTGCAGCTGTTGCTTGGAAACTTGATACAACAGTATGTGTCTTTCTTACACTTTTTCATTGGGGAATGTTAATAACACTCTTTTAAACACTTTATAGTATTGGTCCATTCTTTAAAAAGTCAACACACTCTTTAAAATGTGAGTTATTTATCAGGTAACCGAATCCACGTTTCAGAAAATGAACGAATTATAGCGAGCTGCTAGTATTTTTCTCTTAAAATATACAAATTTCTTGCTCAAATTGCAAACATCCTGGTCTGACCTCCTTTATTGCCTGAATTTTTAGAGCTAGGCGTAAAGAAGTTGTTCAAGTTGATCCACTGTGTAAAGGTTTAATAATTGTTACTCCCTCGGTCCCAAATTGAATGACCAACTTGCAAAAAAAAAATTACCACAAAATGTCCGACCTTTGCAATTTTCAATACAACATTTTTTTTTTAATTGTATCCTCTACTTGATATTACTTGTATCACTTCCAATTTAATATCTCCCACTTTATATTTATGATCAAAGTGAATACACCAATACATGATAGGAACATTTTAATAAAAATACTCTTCTCTCTCTTTCATTTATACAATTTTCTTAATCTTTGTGAAACGGTCAACTAGATCACTCGTTTTGGGATGGAGGGAGTAGTACATTATGGTTTGGCCTGTAAACCATGGTTGTCAAAATCGGGATCTCAATAAAGATTGTTAGGGTATAGAAAAAGCGTAAATAGTAGGATCGTAACACGGATCGTAAGATCCCAACAATAGACAAAATTATAGAAATAACTACTTTAACGTAAAATTCTCATTAATTTAATCATCAATAGCAAATATTTTTTCCAAAAAAACATAATAGAAGGTCATTTAAAACATTGCAAGTCCCATAACCCTAAAATATGTGTGCACAACAGTCAGAAACAGTCAGGGTTAATTATGAGTCAGTTTATGGGCTGATTCCAATTGTTTAATGACCTGGTCGAAACAGGTCTAAAGCGGGTAAAAACAAAAAATGGATTGTTGGGATCTCAAGATCCCACGATTTTAAGATCTTTCCCTAGGAGTTCAATGCTCCAGCCAAATCCAAGATCTTTGTGCCACTTAAATCGGTGGCCGGTTGCCGGAGCGTAAGATCGTAAGATTTTGGGAGTTAGAGCTAGATCCCGACAACCATGCTGTAAACTAAATAGAGAAGTAATAAGTACGCCACAATGCCACATTAAGTCTTTCTAGTCCCTGGTTTTGTTGATTTGCCTGCACTAGATTAGGACAGGTATGACATGATTTTCTTGTATTAGCTGTTTATGCTCATTCCACATTGCTCCACCAAGAACCATAACTATTATCATGATTCTAGTCTCATTTTTCCTGTAAATGTATGGTTCAAACCTTGATAAGCAAGTGACACTGTGACAGGGGAGTTACACCTATGCATGGATACTTTGACAATCCATAATCCCATATACATGTAGTCATTAAATTTATACCTATATATTAAAATTGATTGCTGTTTTATTTAGCTTTTGATATACTGACTCTGAAATATGTTCCTGTAAAAATATAGATCATATTTCCAGATGATCACTTTTTACAAAGATTGTTCACTCCTTCTCTTGCCCGTAGATATGAAGAACTCTACCAAAAGAATGGAGTTAAAATATTGAAGGTATTTCCTCCTTCCCTGTTCTTCCATCTTTCTTCCCTCTATTGTAATTTGCAACAAGTACTAAATTGTAATGGGTATGATTGATATTGCGTTCAACCATTCTATTCTTTTACTCTTAAGTCTCTCCTTTCCTCTATTTATTTTGAACCTATTATTCTTCAGGGTGCCTCCATTAAGAATTTGGAAGCTAGTTCTAATGGTAACGGACGTGTAGCTGCTGTGAAACTTGAAGATGGGTCTATTGTTGAAGCAGATACGGTATTTACTTTAATATGGGTCTATTGCTGAAATTTTACTTTTATAATAATCACATGATTAGCTAAAACGTAGAGGCGTTTACATTAGAGAAGAAGATCAATTGATGGAAAATTACTTTTTCTTTCTAATTTGTGCAGGTAATTATAGGCATTGGAGCGAAGCCTGCTGTTGGTCCCTTTGAGAGATTGGGTTTGAATACTGATGTTGGTGGTATACAGGTGAGGCCAGTGGATATTCAAATATCTTGAATAGTATTCAAGATTAGACATTGCATTTGGTTCTTAAAGCATCTGCAGCAATGTAGAGGGTAGTTAATTGAACATGTTGGCATTGTTTTTGAACATGTTAATTATCAATTTTGAGACCATGCTCCATGTGTTAAAACCCCATGTTTGCAGATAAAACAAGAGGGTAGCCAAAATAATAAGTTCAAGGATTTCATCTAAATGTGTTAGTAATATAGTATCCTGTATTTCAGGTTGATGGTCAGTTCCGGACAAGCATTCCAGGAATATTTGCTGTTGGTGATGTTGCTGCCTTCCCTTTAAAGGTATACTATTAGTTTGTTGAGACGGTTGTCTCAATTCATTCTCGAACTGACATTGACATTTCTGGAAAACTAGACAAATCTTTGAACACAACTCGCTCTCGATTTAACATTTGTATTTTTGGAAAATTGGGCAGATATACAACCGTGTTGCTCGAGTGGAACATGTAGATCATGCTCGTAGATCGGCACAGCACTGTGTGAAAGCATTACTCAGTGCACAAACTAACACGTATGTTGGATCATATTTCCTGCAACTTGGAATTACTTTTTCATGTTTTAGTCCCTGCTGATATTGCTGAATTTCATTGATGATTTTTAGGTATGATTATCTTCCGTACTTCTACTCAAGGGTTTTTGAATATGAAGGAAACACTAGAAAAGTATGGTGGCAGTTCTTCGGAGACAATGGTATACTATTAGTTCGAAATAATATCACTTACCTTTTCCCCCTATTTCATCTCCTGCTGCGCATACTGATACTGTTGATTTTTCATTGAGCAGTTGGAGAAACGGTTGAAATCGGAAACTTTGATCCTAAAATAGCTACTTTTTGGATTGAATCTGGTAACGGGTTGTTTGTTTTCGTATTTATTTGTTTTATCTTGATTATTAGTACTAAAAAATGTGTTAATTCCGCACAGGTAAGCTGAAGGGAGTTCTTCTTGAAAGCGGGAGCGCTGAGGTACTTGCCTCTATTTTTCTTTTATAGTAGATATGGACTGGATAATGTTATTATTAACTTGGTTTTATACTTCTATTAATATAGAAGTGCACTCATAAATCAAATAATTTATATTCAGAATTAGTCCTGGGTTTATTTAATCAATCCTGAGTAGTGTTTGTTTGAAATATATGTATCAGGAATTTCAGCTCCTGCCTGAACTTGCCAGAAAGCAACCTTCTATTGATAAAGCCAAGCTTGAAAGCGCAACCTCAGTGGAAGAGGCCCTAGACATTGCTAGGAGATCCTTGCAAGCCGTTGTCTAGAACAGATTTTGGTCACAGATCAGATGATACTGTTATTTATCTTTTACTAATATAAATCACCCGTGACTGTCTGTCTTCATCCTACCAGGATTGCTTTGCTTGCCCCTTAGGAGAGCGAATAATTTGTATGGTTTTCATATTTTTGTTACGCGGCATCATGTATTATGCAATAATGGCTTTCAAGAGTGTCTTATTATGATTTCTTAATAATTTAATATAAACTTTTAACCAAAGTAGGAGCCAACTTAGAAATAAGTTAAAAAGGGGCATTGGTAATGGACACGTATTGAATCAACTGGGAAAATCATCGAAAGAAAATCAATGAAGTCGTCATCGAGTATTTATTTATTCCACGAAAGAGAAAGGAAAATCATCGAAGAAAAATCTGAGAGGGAGAAATCAGTCTTGTAATCGAGAGATTGAGTACAGAAGTCGGTTATGTAAGAGGAAGGTATTAGTACTCTTTACGTCTGTGATATCTCACGAGATTCACTCTTGTTGTTCTAATCAAATGGTGTGTTCCATCTAAAGTTTATGAACTAAGGGGAGAATGCATGAATGCAAAGTGTATATAAAAAAAAAGTTTTATTAGTTGTGTTCGTCATGGTTGCGGATATTTTAGTGCCTATGTATCGCCTTTCGTGCAGTAGAGGATCAGTGCACTCGTAGTTCTCTTAAAAAATGCTGACTGGTTTGCATTTATTAATCAAATAGTATTACATTCGCACTATAGCAGTTGACATGGTGTCACCCGATCTTTAGGGAATTACGCGTCGTTTGCAGGGAGAGGAAATAACATCCTTTTACGGAAAAAGTTTTCAAAGAAAAGCCCGAAGACAAAAAGGTTTGAATTGGTTGGTGTTTTTGCCGGGATAATAGCAAATGAATTTCACTGGAGGGACACTTACTACTTCTCCCTTATTTACAAAAGGGTTTGCGATTTGAACCATAATAAAGCCTGAAAGTGAAAGAAGAGCAAGATTCAGTCTGGATCGATTCGCTCTACCCCACAAGACTCAACTGCATATGATTCACATATTTCATTATTAAGTGTATTGAGTTTTCTTAAGAAAAGAAGTTTTTGTTTTAATTATGCAAAAGGGGAATGAAAAAAGTCTAATGGAGACTAACAATCCTAATGTTATCATGTAATGGTTGTCCTAAGGTTTGGATACAAAAGGGAAACATCTACCTAAGTTAGCATGCATGGATTACAATCCTAATGTCTACTTGAATCGAGAACGAAACAAGTGATCCTAAGGGAACATGCAAAAGTGAACTTAAAAGAACAAGCAAAGGTGGAAGGAAGTAAACACAAAGAAGGATCCTAACAAGCATTAAACATGAGCTATATGTACATGAAAATAAAGGTCGATGAGTCGAAGGACCTTTCTTCCATTAGAATACTTCAATCACAAAATCGAATAACAATTCGAAGCATCAACGTTGACAAACGTGAGCTAAGATATCGCCGAAGCGATGACAAGATGTGGAAGATAATTGTGATCCCTTTCGACTTTTATTCGACTCAAGGATAAGAGACGAATAATTTAAAGCATCAACGTACGGCGCAAGCTAAGAATGACCAAAGGGCTTGAAAGTGTGGGGGATGATTGTGAACCCTATTATTTCACTTTTTATTGACTCGATTGCAAGCACAAAATAAAATGTGAGAGAGATTTCCTTCTTTGAATATTTTAAACAAACACACAAAGTTATCCTTTTTTGAGATCTTTTGCACAAACAAATAATTGCCCTTTTTTGAGGTCTTTTTGCAAACAAAAAATTAAACAGTCTCGCAATGCTTACGAGAGTAGGTCTTCAGCACATGCATCTCTAGTCCTACTTCTCATGGTAAGGAATTCAAAAGACAATGCGGAATATAAATATAATAGGAAAAATACCAAACAAACAAAAAGTCCATAACAAAGCGTATCAAAGCAAGAAACCCGAAGATCTTCGCGAAGCTTCACCAATCAAAGAAAAAAAGTCAGAAATCGAATGTTCAGAATAAATTTTGAAGCATGATCGATGTGAAAATAAATCACAATCGATATTCGAATACCGAACAAGTAATCTTGCATAAGATACAAGTCTCAACAAAATAAAAGTATATCATAAGTCTCATGTACCGAGACACCTTCAGAAGCTTGTACAAGTTCACAAGATGAATTAGTAATAACAAGAAACGATAATCGAAGTTAAGCATTCACATTACAACTTAAATTGAAATTAAATCATGAAGAAACAACTTTCGAACAAGTATCAGAAACATAAAATAAAGTTTCGGACAACAACTTTTTATCTCATGAAAGATTCAAAAGGTCGAATTAAAATCAACTAAAATCGACACCAATGTCAAGCATTCATTCAATTAAAGTCAATCATGCATCAAGCATAAATTAAATCACATTTCATGTGCATTTTCAAAATTCGGACAACATTGAATTTAACTCATAAAACACTTAAAATGTCGAATTAAAATCGATAAAACTCAACACCAATAGCTAACAATCGTCAAGTGAAAGCTAAACATGCATGAACTGAGAATTAAAACACAATTTGCAAGAATTTGCTAATTTCAGGCAGCATTGTTACATGTATCGATATCTACCAAAAATCGATCGGAAAATAATGTTTAACGCACAAAATCGTCGAACATCGATACTTGGAACGTTGTTCGAAATTCACAAATAAATATTAAATCACTACCGGTACATTAATTCTTGAACATCGAAACAAAAATTATTTACGCGCCGATATCAAATAATCAACTCGAAAATAATCAACGCATGAAATTCCCCAATTACCAACAATTATCGAATCAGAATCAAGCTTCAACGTGTAAAATTAATAATTATCGCGTTGTTGCTCATGAGACTTAAACAATTAAATAAACGCTCATCCAATTCCACAATTGTTCATAATTATTAATCTCAAGAATAAATTAATCTCACAATTCAAGTATTCAACTCATGCAAGATCAAATAAGCACTTAATTTAAGAATCAATTAATCAATTAAGCACTTAAATCAAGCAAGAGTCAAGAGGTAATTATCGAAACGATGCAAAGAGAAGAACATAAATCGGAGAAATCGAATGGAGGAGGGAGGAGATCGTCAGGATCAAGTTCGGACGCGGAGGAGGAGGGAAACCGATCCGGTTTTGCGGTGGAGATCGGTTGGCCGAGGGAGGTATCGCGCGAGAGCTCGGTTGGTCGAGCTGGGAAGTGGCCGAAAGCTGATCGGCGATGTGAGTAGGCTAGCCAGTCGGTCACACGGTGGCTGGCCAGAATCGGAGGAAGAGCTTGCGGAGGAGAGAGATAAGCCTTGAGAGAGAGATAAAGTTTGAGAGCTTGAGAGAAATTTCTTTGTTCTTGAGTTGATTTTGTGAAAAAATGAGCCAAAAGTCCTTTCAATTTGAATTGAAATCAATATATACAAAAGTCTTAAGGTCTTTTGGCAAAATGAATTTTTGAGCCAAATTCATTTGTTTTCGGGTTGTGCAGATTTTTTATCATAATTCCATGCGCACTTTGATGTGCGAGTCGCAAACCATAACTTTCAGAGCATAATTCGAACCCGACTATTGAAGCAAAAACATAGATGACGAAATTTGTGACGTCGTTCCATGAGAATCGTCCCGATATGATAAAAATCGAGAGTTATTTTTAGAATATCGAGAAATTTGGAGACAAAAACTCTCTGTTTCGGGTTGCGCAGCTTTTGCGTCATATTTCGATGTTCAACTTTAGAAGCAAGCTATAAATCAAAATCTTTTGATCATAATTCGAATTTGGGCCTTGAAGAAAATTTGTAGCTAACAAAATTTCTGATATCACGTCGAAAGAATCGTCTCGAAATGTTAAAAATCGAGAAAGTTATGATTTTTGTAATATTGGGCGACAGTTGACCGAAAATCCACTTCAGCATGCGATTTTCAACAAATTTCACAATTTTGGAGATCTTCTTCGAAGAATTAGCTTCCGACTCAAACATATGAAATGAAGAGGATGTCGAGATGGTCTCAACGCTCAAAGACCCACTGAAAAATAAATTTTAGGACAAAAGTTATGAATTTTGGAAGATAAACTGCGAAACATTGATTTTCAGTCGAAATTGTCTCAAATCAATTGAAATGCTTGATTTTCTTTGCAATCGAAGGCATGATAGAACACCTGAGAGCTTGACATGATGATGACTCACTGATTGAGTAGCTCGGAAAAATATGCAGAGTAAACTTGAATCTCGAAAACCCTGAGTTTCTGCTTTGCTGTACTGCCTGATGGAACAATTGTTTTTATAGTTTGACACAGATAAATGCCTTGATTCCGTAACCATGGAATCAATGATATGTATGCATGAGTATGTTAGAAAAATAAGTCAATTAGAGTTAAATCGAAGAAGGCAAATTTTGGGGTGCAACATGTATGAAAAAAATGCATGTTAGAATTAGGGGTGGCAAAATGGATGGATTAGATGGATATGGATTGAATTGTTAATGGACGGATCAAAATAATCCATTAGCCCATTAACAATCCACTAAAACTTCTTACAAATATCCAATCCAATCCATCAATTAAGGATAAAAAATCTATCAAATCCATCCGTTAACAACATTTTAATGGATGGATATCCATCCATCCATCCAAAAAGTTAATTTAAATATATTCATTTATTTATTTAATATTTTTTGTATTTAAAAAAAAATCGATATTCTGTATTTTCATAAAAAATCAATTTTTTGTATTTCCGATAAAAAGTCGATTTTGTGTATTTTTGACAAAAACTCGATTTTCTGTATTTCCGTAAAAAAACTTGATTTAATATATTTTTGCAAAAAACCTTAATTTACTGTATTTCCATAAAAAACTTGATTTTACTATATTTCCATAAAAAAACTCGATTGACTGTATTTCTGAAAAAAAACTCGATTTTTTGTATTTCTGAAAAAAAAACTCGCTTTACTGTATTTTTGCCAAAAACTCGATTTACATAAAA